GCAGGGTTGGAGAAAAATGGGGAAAAGAGTTTTATTGCTTTGCTATCTAAGGAGAAACATGGTGGTCTCTTGTCACAGGGGGTGTGATTCTCTCTGCCTTGGGGAATACAGAGCTGTTAAGAGGGAAATGGAGGCTAGCTTTCAAATATGATGGGTAGATATAATTAATGGGCATCTATTGGGTGTCCTTGACAGCTGTTGCTGGAATTCCTAGGGTTGAGATTTTCTTTCTTCTTGTGGGCAGTGAAATCTTCCAGTGAATAGCATGATAGCTTAGCCTGGAACTGGGAAAATGTTAATCTTGTTTCCCTTATGTTAAAGATAGAGTTGGAAGAAGAAAAATCCATGTCAGTTTTAAAATAAGCCACCTGATCCTGTATGGTAGCACATACTTGTAATTCCAGTGGGTGCAGATGTTGAGGACAGGAGGATCACAAGCTCAAAGCCAGCCTCAGCAACTATGAAAGGCCCCAACCAATTTATCCAGCGCTGTCTCAATATGAAAAGGGCCAGAATTTTTTCTCAGTGGTTAAGCACCTGTGGGTTTACTCTATGCTACCAAAAATAAATAAATAGATTAATTAATTAATTAAAAGGAAATAAGCCACCTAAGGTGTATCATCAGAAAATGATCCCAACTACATTTCCTTCTTTCTTGGTATAAACCATGATTAAGTAGGTGTATGCATAGGTAAATAACCATGGTTCCGCACTTTTAACCAGTGTATTTTGTGCACTTTCAGATATATGTTTTCTTTCAAAAATAGAGTAGGTACAAAGATCCTAGACTAGAATTTCAAAATGATACGAGACTGGTAGGACTATAATAAGTAACACTCCCCGCCCCACCAAAAAAAGCATTTGGGAATACAAATGCACACCAAAATGTGTATTGTCCCCACCAATTAAGTGAAAATAGTTGTGATTACATTTTTCATTTCAACTTCTCCTAAACTCACTCCACTCCAGTTATCTCCTTCCAAAGGATACTACTGTGCTATATGTGTTACTCCCTTGACGTCTTGGGTTCATGGACTCTGTGCAGCAAGGAATTGAAGAACAGGACACAGAGACTTATTGCAAGTAACAGCAATAGACTTCTCTGAAGAGAGTGGCCTAGAGTCAGAAATTTTGGAGTATTCTTTTTATAGATTCTGGATTTTCTACTTTTCTTATCTTCTCTGCTCTCCATGCTTTTCTCTCTGTTGTTCATTTTTTCCCTCACAGTTGTCCATGCCTCTATTTTAGTTGTTTTCTTTGATACCCCACTTAGATGCATGAATACAGAAGTGACTATCTGACTAGGTTCCCTTCTTGTGCTCATAAGCTCTTTTCATCAACCCAAAAGTTGATCTCATTGGAGGACCTTCTCCATGCTCCTCTGGTCTGCATCCACCCATGGCTTCTTCACTTGGCATCTTGCCCTGCCTCGCTATGCTCTTCTACATCTCTCTCATATGGACAAAGCCAGTGGTTTTTATGCCAGTCTTGGATGTCAGGAACAGTTCCAAGTTCCTCCAGTGTTGAAGATTAACCCCCTGAGAAATGTTAACCAAGCATAGAATGCAAGATTTTTATTTTTTTAAATTTGTTCTTTTTAGTTATATATGATAGTAGAATGCAATTTGACATATCATATATACATGGAGTACAAATTCCCATTTTTGTGGTTCTATATGATGTAGAGTTACACTGGCCATGGATTCATATATAAACGTAGGAAATTTATGTCTAATTCATTATACTGTATTTCCCATTCCCATCCCCAACTCTTTCCTCATTTCCCCTTGTCCAATACTGTGGACCTCCACTCCTCCTTGCCACCTATTGTGAGTCAGTATCTGCATATCAGAGATAGAGCATTCAGCCTTTGGCTTTTTAGAGTTGGCTTATTACTTAGCACAATAGTCTCCAGTTCCATTCATTTACTGGCAAATGTCATAATATAATTCTTATTTATGGATAATATTCCATCATATATATGTAACACATTTTCTTTATCCATTTATCTATTGAAGTACACCTTGGTTGGTTCCATAGCTTAGCTATTGTGAATTCAGCTGCTTAGAAAAATAAGTGGGGTCATGTGGAGTGCCTCTCCCTGATGAAGAAGGAATATCTAAATGGCTTTTCCAGCAAGTTTTATTTATATGTCTCTTCATCAAGTTAAAGACTATAAAAGCATTATTCTTTGTGCTCAAGAAAGTTACAGGACAAGAACCATCTATGTAGCTTTACCACAGTTGCAATGTTCAACATTAGGAGCTTTGGACAGCAGTCAAGAAGCCCAGTGTCTAAAGTTACTGGTAAGCAGGCATGCTCAGGAGTAGCAGTACTGGTGAGATATTGTGGTTGTCCTGCATGCTCGGAATTCCTCTATCCCTAGGAGTTATGACTTGAGAATAAGGTCAAAGCTGATAGGACTCTTGCACAGAGCCTCTCAGGGTGGGCCATCACCAGGCAGCAGACATGCCACAGACATGAAGTCATTAGATACCCCCAATCTCAGTCACTGCTCTCCCACTCTCTGTCATTGCTCTCCACACCTTTCTTGTCTCTTGTCTTCTTGCTCTTATTTGAATCCTTGTCTGTCAGTGGGGAATCCAAACTAAGGCTATCAAATTTCTAGTTCATTTGTCATATACAACTGTAAACAATTCATAGTATCTCTGAATTTCTGACCATTTGGTTAACAAGTCCATTTTATTGTGCTTTAATAATTTCTATTGTGTATTATAATAACAAGAATTGTTATCATTTACTTTTTCAAATAACTTTTACAAGCACATTAACCTAATTCAGTGTTCCTTCACTTATATTTTTCTTTTAAATGTTTTTATGAATTATGGAAATATCAATTGACAAGAGATCTGAAAGATTACTAGTGAAGACCATTATCACTAAATCCCTAAGTAAAAATGTAAAGAAGAAAAGCAAAACTGTTTTGAAAAAAAGTGAGGTGGGGCAGATGCAGAAGAGCAAAAATTCCACTTAAAAGGTCTGGAATACCTGAAGTTTTTAATTTCTTCTTCTGCAGCTAAATGAGTGTTTCTCTGTCCTATTAAATCACTGTCTAAAAAGTGACCTAGAATTGTAAAGGTGATTGAACTCTAAAAAATTCTTAAGTTGTTGGAGGTAAATCATCTCAGTATTACCAGGCATTACACTTCTTAGAGAGAAGGAAAGGGTTTGGGGATGTTAGGAGGAAAGTCACTTGATTCAAGTCCCCCTGGGGTAGATTGTTAACCTACTAGGGTTGCCTGCCTTTTTTGAACACTCTTCCTGTGCTGGGAAATTCTCCAACTTTTGATTCCAGGCCTTCCTGTGACAGAGTCAGACACCTTCTCCTACCTCCCACTTAAGTTGGAAACAGTGAGTGACACAGGATATTCTAATAAGACACACTCATGCAACACCTCAGAACAAAGACAAGCTTCCAAAAAACTTTCTGGGTCAGCCGTGAGCTGCAGTGATGATGCCATTTGGTGACTCCATTGGGACCCATCTTCTGGTAGCATTTGCACATATCTCTGGGCCTTATGACCTTCAAAACTGATGTTCTGCTCCTCCGGAAGACTCTTGTGCTACCAATAACATATGATACATTTCATTACTGCTTAAAATATTTCGAATTAATTTCTCTTACTAGGAACTATAACTTTAACTATAACTTTCATTTGTTCTGTTATATATAAAACACTTTTGTTGTGGATAAAGTATCTCTGAAAGTTATAGTCTCAATGAAATCCTAATCTCAAAATTGTATATCTAAAACAGGAAGATTTGTCCCTGCATTCCTTGGTTAAATTTTGTACCATTTTACTGGAAGTTTGAAAGTAAGGGAGGGTGCTGTGGTTGTGACTCGGTGATAGAGCACTCTCCTAGCACACTTGAGGCCCTGGGTTCAATCCTCAGCACCACATAATTAATAAGTAAATAAATAAAAAAATAAATAAGTGTATTTTAAAGAGTTTAAAAAAAACAAGGGGGACTTTTTCTTTTGTTGTATTTGGAGAAAACCATTATTAGCCCAGAAGCAAGTGAATTAACAATCTCTAAAATTTCCAATAACTTTGGAAATTGAACATAAATTATTTTTATATCATATATTTACAATTTTCATTTGTACATTTTTAATCAGTATGATTTGGATTCCAGTAGTGTTAGAACTTTTATTTTTTAAATTACAAATTAAATACTAATTTTATTTTATTTATTTTTTCTTTTTTTATTGGATGTTCAAAACATTACAAAGCTCTTGACATATCATATTTCATACATAGATTCAAGTGGATTATGAACTCCCATTTTTACCCCAAATACAGATTGCAGAATCACATCGGTTACACATCCACATTTTTACATAATGCCATATTAGTAACTGTTGTATTCTGCTATCTTTCCTATCCTCTACTATCCCCCCTCCCCTCCCCTCCCATCTTCTCTCTCTACCCCATCTACTATAATTCATTTCTCTCCTTGTTTATTTTCCTATTCCCCTCACAACCTCTTATATGTAATTTTGTATAACAATGAAGGTCTCCTTCCATGCTCATGCAATTTCCCTTTTCTCTCCCTTCCCCTCCCATCTCATGTCTCTGTTTAATGTTAATCTTTTCCTCCTGGTCTTCCTCCCTGCTCTGTTCTTAGTTGCTCTCATTATATCAAATAAGACATTTGGCATTTGTTTTTTAGGAATTGGCTAGCTTCACTTAGCATAATCTGCTCTAGTGCCATCCATTTCCCTGCAAATTCCATGATTTTGTCATTTTTTACTGCTGCGTAATACTCCCTGGTGTATAAATGCCACATTTTTTAATCCATTCATCTATTGAAGGGCATCTGGGTTGGTTCCAGAGTCTAGCTATTATGAATTGTGCTGCTATGTAATTTTAAGGACACAGAGTTGACTTTTCAAATACTGAAACTAAATTCTCACTTTACCTCAAAATTTAGGTAATATTAAGATACTAGGACAATGAATTTAAGGATCCCTGAGTTCGATCCCTGCTACAAAAACAATAAGGCAATGCTTAGGACATTATTTTTGAATAGACTGAAAATAAGACTAGTTATTGAAAACATATCTTGTAACAGGCTACATTTGGCTGTGGCCATGATCATTGTTACTTTACTTCAAAATTGGAAGTGAAAAGGAAAATCCCTAATTCCAAGTATTGAGAAAGCAGTCAAGGTATCACCTCTGCATCTCCTCAGCATCTTCTCAATTCACATCAACACTCTATTATGTGGCTCTGTAGATAATTGGGAAACCTGTATAGTCTTCCCTAACTTCTTTAGGAGATTGTGATGTTCCACCCTCCTTATCCAACAGATGTGACTTGTTAATTGATTGATAATTCTCTAAGACCCAACCTCCAAATTTTCAGGTCAATTACCCTACATCTTACTCTCATATGTTTTTCCCATGGGGAAAAATGAAGTTGACCATGGAAAAGCCTTAATATTTTTGCTGTGAAAGACCTGCATTTTAATTATGGCAATTTACATGAGTCTCATGTTTAATGGTGAACAATATGAATTGAAATGTTTGCTAATGTGACATAACACTTAAGGAAGGAACAATCCTTCCCAGGCAACATGTGGCAGTGAGTTAATTCACTGTGGTAGTAACATTCCAGAGCCTGAGACATCACCTCCCTTTATGAATAATTTTACATAAAAACTTATGGGTGTCTGCCATTTTATTTACATGTGCCATGGGAAAAAATACAAAAAAAAAACTAACATTATTTGGTTTGCTGTCAAATGTTTGTCTCTATTTTTGTTGTCTGCAGTGCTCTCATTCAATGCATTCTAATAAGTTTTTAAGAATGCATGAATTACACTCAGAGAAAAGCTGGGATGACACACACTCATTACAGAATATAAAGGAATGAAACATTATCTATTGTTTGGCATGCCAGAAACTCTTAATACCCTTTATCCTTAAGAACTGAAACATTCTCAGTGCAACTGGGCATTCACCACTTGGCATAATTTAAAGTGCTTCTTTAAGAGGCTTTAAATCTTAAGTCATGCTTGAGGTATTCTGCAAATTTGATCTCCTCCAGATTTTATCAGGCTACATTAATATTTGGGCTTTGGAAAGCCTCTTCCCTCCATGGCTATTAGAGGTTCATAGTTAATTGGGTGTATCTTGAACCAAGCAAAGGTAAATGTGAAATACAGTGTTGTTTCTGTGAAGCCATGAAGGATGCATGCTCATCCTCTTGATCTTTGGCATGTTATATCCAGTCAATGATGAAACAAATTTAAAAGTTATAGCATTAATTATATCAATTGTTTTAGGTGAAAAATAATTTGAACTCTTATTTGTGCTTCAATCATCCCTATACAATGGCAAATCAGTATATTCAAGTTGCCTGCCTATTGCTGGAAGTAGAGCTTGTATTTTAAGTGACCAGAACTAAGAAACTTCCCCCTGGATCCATAGCCAATTTATGCATGCTAAAGACTTCAGCAAGAAATTTCCTAATGCCAAGAACAATGCTAGTGTATTCTAACACTGGCGGATATTTCCAGCAGCTGCAAGAAGGATGTATAGCCTTTAGGAGAGGATTCTGTACAGGATACCACAGTAAGTAAAGTGCTCATGATCACAATAGTAAAATGCTGAAAATTAACCCAAGTCTGTCCAACCTTAGCCTGCCCTCTTAGCTAAGGTGCCTTTGCCCTATCTATCTGGCGAAATTGCTACTATCTGATAGAAAATTTATATTTATAATACATTTTTATGCTTTAGAAATGTCTAGTACACCTTGTCCTTC